GTCTCTCTTCGAGTTCAGGGGGTCGGTTTTGGGTTTAGGGTTTTTTTTCCACCCCAGAGGGATCCTGGAAGCTTGGCGCAGACAAGGGGCTATCAGGAATCTGGACTTAGAGGGTTTAGGGTTTAGAGTTACTCACAGGCTTGAGCCTTGTGATATGTTTGACAAAGGTCTGAAAGCTTCAGAGTGTATGAGCTGTTGCAGAAGCTCGTAGGCCCCCTTCAACCGTGCAAAAGCGGCGCTGTTGCATCATACATTCCACCACGGCCTTGGCGGAAGACTGTCGTGGCGAGTCCTCAAGTGTTGGACTGTCGCCCAAGAACCCACCACAAGCTGGTGTGCAGGGATTGAGTCGACGCGCCGGAGCAGTACGTACGCGCTGCTGGAATGGACTCATGACTTAGACCGTACTACCTTTCTGCCCCTTTTTTGTCTAGGGCCCCCTTGAATACTTCCTGAGATGTAGTGCCTGTAGAGCTATATTACAACATTTCCCTGTCCCAAATGCCATGTAGAACCCACCTTATAGCATCCCTTTTCAAGGAACCCTTGAAAGGAACCCTATTCTAATTATTAAGGCCCCTATATTAAACCCTCAACCCCAGACCTGAGACCCTAAACCCTCCGACCCTAAGGCGTACACCCCCCGATCCCTGCGGCTAAACCATGCTAGACCCCTAAGACCCCAAGCCCCAAACCCGAAACCCTCAACCCTCTGCGACGTAAGCTTAACCCTAAACCCCAAGCCCCAAACCCCAAACCTCGAACCCTTAAGTAATCCTCAACCCTCTAGAGCCCTAAAGCTGCATCAAAGGCCTACGTAAGATATAAGGCCCCAAGCCCCAAACCTTAAACCCTAAACCCCGACACCTTAATTCATCCTAAACCCCCTACAACCCTAAAGGATATAAGGCCCCAAGGCCCCAAACTAAAACCCTCAACACCTAACTCCAGGCTTCGAAGTGCACCAGTATGGCGACGTCCAGGGGGTCGTCGGTTTCTCAGAAACGGAGGGGGCCCAAAGACCCAAACCGTTTAGGGTTTAGGGTGTGGGGCTTTCAATTGTGGGCCTAGGGTTTAGGGTTTAGGGCCTTAAGTCAGGGCTTTCAATAGTGGGCCTAGGGTCAGGGTTTGCAGGGTTTTGGGTTTAGGGTGTAGGGCTTGTGTTTAGGGTGTAGGGTTTAGGGTTTACGGCCTTCAGTTGTGGGCCAAGGGTTTTGGGCTTAGGAATCGGAAGTAGATTCCAGTTCATTTTGAAGCATTCCGTAAAGACTTTACAAGTGTTTGCAGTAGGAAGCCAAAAAGAGTAGTTGCACAGTGTTACCACCGGGCTCTTGGCTGTATTGCCCCAAGGGTCCAGATACATAAACAAGTAGAGGCGAGACTTCCAACGAACTGCAGGAAGGAAGAACATGGACGAACCCTAAACCCTAAACCCTAAACCCCAAACCTTTAGCTTTTGCTTGCACGAGCATTTTGACAGTTAGGGTTGGGGAATTCAGGGCTGAGGTTCACGGTACGTGAAAGGTTGCAGCGTGTAGGACTGACAAGCTTGGAGGGCAAGATAGGGAGCTGACTGTTCAGGGCTCTGATTCTAAGGTAGAACCCATGGGCCCCTAACATGGTATATAGTAGGTATATTAGGGTCCCAGGGGTAAGGGCCCATACTAGGGAGCTGACTGTTCAGGGCTCTGATGTTTGTGCGATTTCGGATTTCTTTGTGATAGACCTTGTGATGCACATGTTAGTTCCTTATCGGGAGTCCGGCTGACTAGACTAGATTGGTATACATATATATATATATATATATATGCCCGGAGTATCATGCAGTTGCACTAGGCCCCCATCTAGTATTCTACATGCCTGGAAAATGTATCATCCCAGCCCGCAGCCCCATTAAGCCCCAAACCCGGAGGTTGCGGAGAAGATTTTGGCCCGAACTTTTTAGCTGAGACCACAGTTTGGGGTCTAGGGTTTGGGTTTAGGGTATAATTAGAGTGTCTGAATAGCTGGCAATATTGCCCCGTCATCGTCAGAATCTTGATATAAGTGTATTGTAACATATGTACGGCAGAAAACGTTTTAGCTATTATTGCCGTGCAAAACCTTATAAAACGCGGTAAAATCCTGTAACAGACACTGCCACCGTGTTATGTCGTACACATCTTGAAGACCAGGACAACTAAGAGCAATGCTTCGCGTCGGTTTCTTTTGCAAAAAGTCGACTGCTAGAAATTGTCGGCCGTAAACCCTAAGCCCTAAACCCTAAACTCAAACCCTGAACCCTAAAATCTTTTCGACCGTTCATCCTGATAGGGTTTGGGGTTGAGGGTTGACTAGCCCTGAGCTCCTTGGCTCCAGCTTCGAGAGCCCTATACCCAAATGCGGCTGCATAACCGCTAAGCCCTAAACCCCTAGACCCTTAACCCAAAGCCTCTGAACCCTTGACCCTTACATAATCCAAAACCCCTACAGACCTAAGCCCTTAATCCTAAACCCCTAAAAGCTGCAGCAGAGGCCTACAAGATACCCTAACCCCCTAAACCCTTATATAATCCTAAACCCCTATAGCCCTAAATCTGCAAAGGCCTACAAGCTACATGACCAAGAGCTTCTGGACGTCATGGGCGAAAATGACCAAGGTGTCTTGTGATGGAAGGGCCGGAGGTTTCCACGATGGGGCTTCTATGGGTTCTATAAAGTTTAGGGTTTAGGATTTAGGGTTTAGGGTTTATTATAAAGTTTAGGGTTTGGGATCTAGGGTTTAGGGTCTACCTGGACCCCAAAAGTATGCAGAACAAAATCCTTTCATAGGTTCTGGGCCATGATCTTGCCTGCCTTTGGGGGTTGTTGGCGTCCTAGGCTCAGGTTTTGACGGCTTCTAAGGCATGAGGCTTAAAGTGTTAATTTGATCTGATTGGGCCCCTTCCCATCTCGATTCAACACATGGGTAATTCTCAGAGTCCTTTTTCGGGTCTTTTTATCAGGGTGCCGTACTAGTTTGGGGACCCAAGAACGACCCTAATTTAGAGAACTACCCGAATGATGAATGCCATTCAGCACGTTTAGGGTTGAGGACGGGAGCGACTGGGTCTACCTAGAATCTGAATTGCAACTGGTTTAGGGTTCAGGGTTACCCTACTCTCTTGTTACAGGATCCTAACCATGAAGTAGGTTCTCCAACAAACCGGTCGTGCAAGCTAGGGTCCAGCGAAGAATTAGTGTTCGGATGTTTTATGGAGAGTTGAATAAGGGTCGGAAGAAGTAGTAAGAGTATTCCCCTTTGATCCCTACAGTTTTTCAGGATCTTGTACACCAAGTCCCTATTCTACTATTCTACTATGTATTCCCCTATATGAGACTGCTTGTTGATTAGGTTTTTCCGTTTATCGCAAGTATTATACCTAATTATCAACCAGAAAGTTGTTTCCACCATAGGGAGCTGGTTGTTGGGGGGGGGCGGTGTTAATCCCTAGCACAAGATAGAAACCTTAGTAACTATTTTTTTGCTCCTCTGCGCAATTCCTGCAGTGGTGAGCTATAGTCTGTTTCCAAGAATTTTAAAAGTCAGTTGATAAGCCGAGAAGCAGCCATATATAATGGAGAAGCAGTATCTAATCTAACGCAACGGCCTGCGCAAGACGTGGTTTCAGGTTCCAGCACTCCTTGTTTTGGCTACTTGGAGGATCATGGGACTTAGTAAGTAAGGTTATAAGTCCCTTAATTGGGGTTATAAGTATAGGTGCCTTAATTATAACCCTACTTACTAAGTCCCATGACCCTTTAAGTACCAACCTTGTGAAGGACAGCGGGGACGCCAAACACCAGAGCCCTAACGCCAGACAGAAGGTTCAGGGTTGAATTAGGGTTTAGGGTTGAGCTGGCTAAGACAATGTACATGGCCTGCGTTGTGGGCACAGGTTTCATGGAGTAGTTCAATATCTAACAGGATTCTTTATTTCCCCCGGCAGAGTTTTTTTGGCACCAACTTGATGTACCGACACTCTCTAGCGACATAAGGACGAGGGCCATAGGAGGTATGATCCTGGCTGTATAAGGACCCTTGCGCCTGCGTGTCCATCCCAGGTAGTATTAGGGAGACCCTTCAAACCCTTCTTCACCCTACTTTTGGCCCTCGCACAAAGGGACCTTATTGAGAGGGTCTATATCCCCAAGGGTTCCCTAAACCCTAGACCCTAGACCTTATTAAGAGGGTCTCTATCTCCAAGGGTTCCCCCTAATCCTAACCCCTACTCCAGGTGGATGCGTGAGTTCCAAGGCCATCTGTCGGGCGTTGGGTGCTGAGATCTTGGAATATGACAGAAGGGACCCTTAAAGGCACCCTGCAAAGAGCCCTAATCCCTAAACCCTAAACCCTAAAAACTTTAAAGAACCCTGAAAGGGTGCCAACAACAGTCATGTAGGTACATGGGGGTGTAGGATGCTAGAACATGTCGGTTACTATGTTGGGAAGATTCGGAGTCTTGGCATCTGAGCGCTTGAGCAGGGTTAACCAAGAGGGTCCACATATACCACTATTATGGAAGTAAGTCCCCAAAACCATTCTTAGGGTTTAGGGTTTAGGGTTTAGGGTCTTTGGGGACCTAGTTCCATAATCGTAGTAGATTTGGACCCTCTGGGTAAGTTGCTTCAGGGACATAGTGATGGAGGATGGGGTTCGAACCCCACAGGCCCTGAACCCCCCCAGGCCCTAAATTCTAAAAGCCCTAGAAACCCTGAGCCCTAGACCCGAACGCCATCGGAAAAGAGCACTTAAGACACCAAAAGTCCTTGAAAGGCCTGAAGCCCTCGCCGCCCCAACCCGGAATGCCCAAAATCTCTTAAACTTGAAATCCTCGACTAAACCCTAAACCCTAAACCGAATTTAGGGTTTAGGGCTGCATCGCACATTTTTGGGGGAACCGTGACTCCGAAATCCTAGACCCTTAAAACCCTAAGCCCCAGAGCCGTCAGAGACCCTGTGACCGAAGCCATCAACTCAACAGAAGTGCCAACATAGTTAGACGCGGAGATATCTGAAGCTCTTGAAGCTCTACCTGGACCCCAAAAGTATGTAGAAGACTGGGCCCCTAAACCCTAAACCCTAAACCCTAAACCCTAAACCCTAAACCCTTTTGGTTTTGGGCCCGACCTTTGGGGGTTAGGGGAAGCCCCGAAATGCTCGTGAAAGGCTTCCGGCCGTGACGCTTGGATGCCTGTGCCGTATCCAGGGGCATGGTGTGTTGGTGGCTTCTAGCCCTGAGGCTCCAAAGGCCTCCATAT